TCCACTGAGTATCTGCCCTGGCTGTGCAGGCTCACTCGGGACAGGAGATGTAGGCACACTCCTGGAAAAGTGCAGCTCCCAAGTAGTTCTGAATCATTGCGAATATTTTGTTGTGATGACAGTAGCACCCCACACAGCTCCGCTCCAGAGCTTGCCCAACATGACAAGAAGCTGTTAAGTTATAAACACTCAGCTGTCCTGTGGCTGATGTGAGTGGCCCTGAGGCAAGAAGTCTGTTGCCTGGTGCAGGCAGTGCGACTGCACACTAAATTAAAAGAGGAGCCATGGGACTGTGCTGGCCATGGCCCTTCATCTCAAAACAGATGGAATAATAATAATAAGATATGTGTGCCTGTGTTGGTGAGACATGAAAGTACTTAGTGCTGTACCACAGGATGCTCTTGCAAAATGTAGTGTGAACGTGGCTATTGTGCTCCAAAGAAGGCTGGGACTACTCCAGTATGGATGTGACAGGGACATGCCTTCCAGCCTAAATACTGGCATGTTCATTTCAACAAACTCGGTAAATATGTAGCCAAGGTGGAAATCTGTGTGGAGTTCTGTGCCTAAACTTCTACACAACAAGTCACAAAATCCATGTCTGGCTGCGTAGGCATGTCTGTCCTAACTTTTATTCCCATGTAATGCTCCTTGAACACACTTGAGCAATGGTGGAATTATATTTGTGGCCTCTCTTGAAATAGGCCAAGTGTGTAGCCAAGCATGCAAAATTTGTGAAGCCAGAGAGCAGTTAAGAAGAAGGGACCTGGGCTGATGGTCCAGAGATCAGGCTTGACCCAAGAGAAAATGGAGAATGGGAGATACTGGATTTTGCTCTGTCCTCTATGGTCTACCTCTGCATTTTATTAAAAAAACCTGAGCAGTCAGGCTACCATCCTGAAATGTGCAAGACTTGGACTCAAACCTTCTTGAACTGAGAAATGTTTAAATTTTGGGTTTTCTATATCCTTGACCAGCGCTCCAATAAAGCTTTAGGGAACAAAGTGTCTATATTACCAAAGTGCAAAAGGTGCTGCTTCTATTAAGGGTTTTTTTAAGAGTCTTTATTCTTAAGATGGAGGGAACGTTGGTAGAAGCAGGATAGTACATAATTTGCTATCATCTGTTCTTCAGGGATGAAGTAATAAAAATGTCAAACACAAGACAAAAGTTGATTAAAATATAGGTAAGGTGTATTGAGGAGCAAGGAATAAAAGAAATCTGTTATCAAGAAATTATTTTCAATAATTATTATCAAGAATTAGAGTTCCGTTTGAGCAGGGAGCCTAAGAGCTAATGCCCATATAAATTTCACATGCACAGATTCTCCTACATAAATGATAGTTTTCAAAAAACATGGTATGGGTCTCTTATACTGCCCAGCTTTTAGTGGGAATGTTACCCTCATGGGGGTTCCATAACATGACGTAATAAAAACAATGGATGAACGCTGTAATTCCAGGATATAAATTATGTAGGAATGGTAAAATAGATTGTGCTAGTTTAGACATGCTTTTAAAAAAGCTTACTGTCAGATAAAGTAAATAACAATAAGGTTGTTGCCTGCTAAACTTAATAACAGGTATTACAGAAACTGGACCGAAGCACTGTTCCTGCGTAGAAAGGGTACGCTGTTAGAGCAGCGCTACTAACCACCTTATTCAGAAGGGGACAGAGGTGTGCTAAGAAATACCAGAAACAGTAAGTGAGGAGAAAACCTAATAAGTGAGCGACATCAGTCATTTCTATGGAAACTGGAGGAGTGTTACCTCAGGGCTTGATGCAGAAAGTAAATTTGTAAACACTACAAATGACTGTTGCTTGGAGCAAGTAATCACAGACCCCACAGGCAGAGAAAGAACTCTTTCCAAGCAGCCACTCAAAAAGCCGCTCTTCAATAGTGGCACAAGTTCAATATCCAAAAAAATGTGCTATGCTAATGCATAAGTAAAAAAGGAACTATATAAGATTAATAAGTCTCCAAAAGGAAGTTAAAAGGAGCAGTTGAAAGGTGTCCTGGTTTCAGCTGGGACAGAGTTAATTTTCGTCTTGGTAGCCGGTATGGGGCTGTGTTTTGGGTTTAGGATGAGAACAATGTCGATGATACGCTGATGCTTTGTTTCTTGAAATAGTGCTAAGAGCTGTTGCTAAATAGGTGCTAAGTGGCGCTCACACTGGTCAAGGACTCCTCAGCTTCCCCTGCTCTGCCGGGTGCACAAGAAGCTGGGAGGGGGCACAGCC